TTCATCTTGAATGGTGTTGACTTGAATGTAGTTGACGTAAATCATCATCAAAATCATCTATTGAGAATGTAAGGACATTTTCATCAAAAAATTCTTAATAGCTTGAAGTAGAGATGAAAGAAAAGAAAAAGACAAGAACCCTACTATTTTAATAAAGAATTTATAATATAAACATTAAAATATTAAATATAATATTATATTATATTTTTTAAAAGATAATAAATATTTTAAATTCATTATTTATAAATTTAATTAATTAAAAAATATTAGTATTATTTGTTCATCATTTAAGAAAAAAAGTTAAAATATAAATATCAAATATTAAAAATAATATTATATTTTTAAAAACAAATTTTAAAAAAGGTTTAAAAACATATATAAATTATATTTACATGTAGAAAATATTAAACATATCCACATTTAAAAATATTATACTTAAAATTGATGAAATATATTTAAAAAAAGTTATATTTATTAAAGTATTAAAAATATTTTGTAATATATAAGTTAAAAAAATTATCATTAAATTTTTTAAAAAGTATTAGTTTTGTAATTTATACACAATGAAAATAAATTACAAATATTATAATATATTAGTATAGTATAGTATATTTGTATTCTAATTTTTAATTAAACTAAAATTATGCTAATAATGTATAATAATATATGAGGGGATAATAAATTTAATCCAATTGCTTATGTATATATCCTTTTTCAAACTTTTTTTTCTTTTTTAAACTTTTCACATTCTACATTTTTTTGAAAACTCTATCATTTATACTACATTATCATCCTCATCTCCTCTCATATTCTATTTTATCTTTACAATAATTAGTCTTTACTATAATAAATCAAATAAAATGGTTCGATAATATCAATTAATTAAAATCATCACATAAAAAGTTTAGATAACTACATTAAAATTATTAATTTTAAAAATATAAAATATATTTAAAAAAATACTAAAATTATATATTGAAAATAAAATAGAATAAACAAATACTCTTTATTTTATATTATATTTAAGTGTGTGCACAAATGTTGACATTCTTAACTATAAAGAAACAGTAGAAAAATATAAAGATAGAATTTGAAGAAGTGAATTTTGAAGATAAAGACTATTTTTATATAAATTTATTCTAGTATATCAATTAACAATAATAATATATAAAATTTAAAAACTAAACTAAAAAAAAGTAAGTTTAAATTTATAAAAAAATACATTACTAAAAGTATCATATTATATTAAGATTTTCATTATTTTTGTTAATTATAAATTTAAATGTGTTTCATAAATAAAGTTATAAATTTAAATATATTTACACTTTTGATCCATCATAAATAAAAATAAATAGTCTCCTATAAATGTTGTTCTATTTTAATCTATCATTAAATTTGTTTTATATTATTTAAGACAAGTATTTAAATTTTTTTATTTTATTTTTACGTATTTTTTAACTTCAAATTTATTTTTTATTTTTTATATTTATTTTCTTATAATTTAAAGTAATTAATATTATTTTAACATTTACTTTGATGATTTTTACTATAACAAATCAAATAAAATCATTTAATAATATTAATTAATTAGAATCATCACATCAAAAATTTAGATGACTAGATTAAAACTATTAATTTTGAAAAATATAAATATATTTAAAATAAAAATAATAAAATTATAGGTTGAGAAAAAAAAACTAGAATGAATAAATATTCTTCATTTATAATATATTTAAGTGTGTGTATCAATCTTGATCTTCATAACTATAAAAAAATAGTTAAGAAATATGAAGATAAAGATTAGAGAAATGAATTTTGTAGATAAATTTTTTTATAAATTCAAGCACTCATATGGAAAAGAAAAGAAATAAAAGAAGAAAAAACGAATTTGATGACTTATCATATTATTAAAGATTTGGATGAAATAATTATGTATAATAATTTTTTAGTATATTATGTTTTTAAATTTGCTAATAGAGAAAAAATTTCAGAATTAAAAATGTTAAATATTTTTAAATATTAAATTGACTTTATAAAAAATTAGGAAAAAAACAATTAATCCAAAAATATAATAATGATAAAAATATTATAAAAAAGAGTTCAAAAATATATTATAATATTTTTCAGTTTTAGTTTAATTATATTTTTAATTCTCAAAGTAGAAAAATATATTATAATTATTTTAATTTAATAAAATATAATTTAAATTTTTAATACTAAAATTAAGAGATTAAATAATAATAAATTTAATTAATTAAATTTAGTATTTAGAAACCAAAATTATAGTTTCTCTGTTTTAAAAAATTAAAATAAATATTTAAAAATAAAAAAGACTAATATTATCTTAAATTTATTAAAAATATAATTAAATCTCCATTTTCTTATCCAATTTTAGAAATTTTTTAATAAAAATCCAATATATAAAAAAGTTGAAATTTTAAAAAAGGTATAGTCTTAACTTACATTAACTATTTTTTTTTTTGAAAAAGTTGACAAGAAAAACTATATTTTGAAAAAATAAAGTTAATAAATTTAAAGTTATTTCAATGATAAAATTTTCAAATGTGATCTATGTATTTATTGAGAAAAATTAGAGGTGTGTTGATTATAGATTTAAATATATTTTTAATTTATTTAAATATGGTTTATTTTTAATATTTATAAAATGAATTAGTTTTAAATTTTTAACTTTTCTAGCAGTCTATTTTTAATATTTGTTATTAATTTTGTTAAAAATGAAAAATATTAATTAGTATATTTAAAGTAAAAAAATATTTCAACTAAAGATAAATATATTTTTATAAATAATTTAATTAAATAATATATTTATTATCTAATCTATATCAATTATATTTTTATATAAATTTTTTTCTAGTATATCAATTATATGAAAACAACCATGGTTATGTAATTAATAATAATAAAGCAATAAATTTAAAAACTAGATTAAAAATAAAATATTATAAAATAGAATTGTAATAATTTGATTGATATTGTAATGTTTTAATTAATTAAGTTAACGAGGAATTAAAATGTGATAATTTGATGTTTTTAATTTTTTTAATATAAATTTTTAAAATATAATTTAATTTCAATTGAAATTTTTAAATGAAAAATATATTATAGAATATTTGTTATTAAATTTTTCTTAAACAATGTATTGAATAGTTAATATCACTCCAGTCTTAATTTATTATAATTTAAATTTTTAATAAATTTGATTTATTTTTAATAATATTTTTATTTTAGTAATTTAAAATTAAAGTTAATCTTCATTTTGTTAATATTGAGACCAAAGTATATTTTTAAAGTATATTTTTAAAAATAAATTGTAAAAAATATACTAAACCAATTAAAGTATATTTATAAAAATAAATTTAAATATAATAAAAAAATAATGTTCATTAGTGACCGATTTAGAGACCGATTTCAATTCGGTTACTATTTCAATTTGTCATTTGGTCGCTAAATCAATTGCTAAATAATTTTTTTATTTTAGTATGGAATAGACACCAATTTAGCGATCGAAATTTTGTGACGCAAACTATTGGTCACTATTTCGGTCGCTAAATAAAAAAATGAAATTAAATCATATTTCGATGGCAAAATTGGTCGTTAAATTGTGACCGAATTAAATTGGTCACTAAATTGTAATCGAATTAAATTGGTTGTCAATTGCAACCGAATTAAATCGGTCGCTAAATTGGTCACTAATTATGACTAAATTGAATCGGTCGCTAAATCAGCCGCTAATTGCGATCGAATTAAATCAATCATTAAATTGGTCGCTAAATTAAATCAGTCACTAAATCTGTCGCTAATTGCGATCGAAAAAATTCGATCGCTAATTTCGGTCGCTAAAAGTGTTTTTTCTTGCTTCTTGATTTTTTTTTTCTTCAAATTGAAAGATAGTGAAATATGTTTCAACATGATGAGGTCAGAGCAAATTTTGGTAGACGTCCACAGTGATATTGACATGCAACTTGTTCATCTAACTTAGGTATAAGAATAAAAGTTTAATCGAACCATCTATAGTAATTGATACTTTCTGAAGTTTCCCTAAAAATAATTGAAGATTGCGAGAGAATCTATTAGTTAAAGTCAATGGTTAGAGACATCGACGACACATCCTCACTATTCTCAAACTTTTAAAAGATATGACGATGCGGCTGCTTCATTAAATTGTGAGTCATGCCACAAAATCATAAATTTCAAGTAAATTATTTTCATTAATTTATGATAAGAACTAACTTACAATCCTATTTAAGTATCGTTTATCGCTTTAAGTGTTGAAAATAAATTAGACTTATGATTTATAATTTTGAGTATATAGTTGTTCACTCTTAAAATTAGAAGAGTTTAACAATATACATATATACAATTAATTATAAGAGAAAAAATTCACTGACATTATTCTTAATTTTAGCCGTTATCATATATCGCTTTGATGTTTAGGAAGTAACTTTTCTTGGATTTTGAGGGTGTGATTCTTTAGGTTTGAGATATATAGTCCTGTAGAAGACAGAAACAGAGACAAAAGAACTATGGTCGATTTTGTAATCACAATGCTGACCGAGTGCTAAAACCACGTACTATTTGACACCATAAAGAAGTATTAAATGTTATTTATTTTGCCAACTTGTTCCGTTTGCGTGTGAAAAGTCAAAGGGTCTCAGGCCGTAATGGCGAGGTCAATCAAAAACACGAAAAACGTACGAGGATAAACTAATTTAATTTCTCTTTCAATTCACTTAGTTTAAGAATTCAGCGTTACTAGCAATGCTCGCAGCCCCCACTTCAGCTTTTAGTTTTGACAAATATTCAATCCTCATAGTGCTCATCCTCCTAAATCCAATGTCACATCCTTTATTAGCCCATCTCTCCCTGTATAAATCACCCTCTCTATCACACCCTCAACCGAACGAGCTAAGATATTTTTCCTCACACCTCTTTCAATTCTCTCCGTCTCTGCTCCTTATTCCTAGCCAAAGAAAAGTAATATGGAGACTATCAGTGTTCAGGTGATGAGAAGCTTATCAGATAGTGAATCATCTGCTACATCTGGAGGTGAAGAAGAGGTGCTAATTAAGAAAGGACCATGGACTGAAGAAGAAGATTCTCTTCTCATCAACTATGTCAACCTCCATGGCGAAGGCCACTGGAATTCCCTCGCTCTCTCTGCAGGTAATTAAGCATTTATACATCAACGGGACCAACGTCCTAACTAAATAACTAAATTCTTTAGCCACGTATTTTACCATGCACCATGGCTTAATTATGTGTTCAATGTTTCGAACTATAAGGTCTGAAGAGAACGGGCAAAAGCTGCAGATTACGATGGTTGAACTACTTGCGTCCAAATGTTCGACGTGGGAACATCACCCTTCAAGAACAGCTCTTGATTCTCGAACTCCATTCCCGATGGGGCAACCGGTACGTATATTATAATATTATTTATGTACTATATAGTGCAGAATAGCATTGTTTAACTTACTATATTTTTGCAAGTTGATCAAACCAATGAATATAATATCATGCGTTGTGTTATTACTTATTGAAGGTGGGCTAAAATAGCAGAACAGTTGCCTGGGAGAACAGACAATGAGATAAAGAACTATTGGAGGACGAGAGTGGTGAAGCTAGCTAAACAACTCAAATGTGATGTAAACAGCAAACAGTTTAGGGATGCTGTGCGCTTTGTTTGGATGCCACGCCTTGTGGAGCAGATTCAGGCTTCTTCTGGGCATGCTTCTTCTTCCTATGGACATGACCAAACTACACTGTGCAACATTCAAACCCGCAGTGAATCTAGTGGGGCCAATCCCATGAAGTTTCGTGACAGCTTAATGGTTTCCACGTACTCATCAGGGGTTGATGTTCCGCCTCCTTCTCTCTCTGACACAAGTACAACTTCAACTTTCAATTTAATGGGAGATGGTAGCTGTTCATCGGATAGTGCAGAAATGGGGTGGGAGCAGTGGGACTACTCTGATCTCCAAGCATTTGCACCGACCCATGGTTTTGGTGATGCAGACTTGTGGACCGATGAAAACATGTGGTTTTTGCACCAGCATCTTACTAATGATTTTTGATCCAGTTTTTCTATTTACACTAGGTATATTAACAAGTTCAAAGATATCAGAGTTATCTGACATGATATAGCTAAACTATACTGAATGAAATTGATGAATGATTGATTATTTGTAATTGTCCTACTGAATGACACATTTACTTGAGAACATGTTCAATGTAATAACACAAGTTCATATCTCTCTTTTGTTATGTATACTTCGACAACATTTACTAATTTTTACTCTGCTCTGGTGATAAAATTTAACTTAATTTTTAGTGGGCCTCATTTTCATTTTCTATTCACACAATAACTCTCATTTTAATTTAAAAGACATTTTTAAGACATGTGACTTTTATGAAGACTCTACGTCAACCTGTTTACTCCAATACTACTAAGTTATTTAATTCTAATAAGAATAAACTTAAGCAATCTCACGGAAATGTTCTGAGAACAGTGAGTAAAGAATTGGGATGGCATCTAAACAAATCGAAAAATCTATTCAGGACATTGAAACTACGAGCAAGGAAGTATGATTAATTATGAATTGACTATCACTGTTTGAGAGTTAAGAATCTTGAACATTGCGTTGTCTTATAATCCTCTAGAAACATGTATGAATGAGAGAATAAAAAACGTGATGGGAGTTTGAAATTAATTAATATGAGTAGAAAAACTGGAGGAGTAGGTTGCAAAAGAATATTATATTGGTTTAAATTCGATGGATTTCTCATCGGAAGCACCGAGTGCCGCATTATTTGAATAACAGCAACCTTTTCCATTCGAGTCTCGAGTCGTTCACACGTAATTGGTCGGTCAACTATATTTATTTTTTCTTTTTCTTTGCCTTTGGATGTCACTGGCTTGTGGGGATGTAGTCACAGCTGACCTCATATGGACAATGTTTAATGTGACTTTTAATCATAAAAGAAAAGTAATTGGATTTCATCTTTTTGAGAACAAAATGAAAAAGAAGAGAAGTTGACGATGGATAATTTATGTTACGGTGGCGTTTACTATGAGTGAGAAATAGGTAGCAAGTTGGGAAGAGGGGAGTTGGTTTGTCTCGCATTTGGACTCTGGATGAGAATACATTTATAGTTTTCAACATAATTGTGGAAAAGCGTCGGCGGTGATCCGGAAGTAGGGTGTTTAGTGCGGATTGATTTGGATTGGTTCAGTTTTAATTTTAAAAATATCCTGAATTAAATTAAATTAATATTTTATAATTTAGTTTGAGCGGTTTTTATTGTTAAAATATTTGTTAAATAAATAAATATTGTAGATACCTCAATTTGAAGAGGCGTACGAGGTTCTCTGCAATAGGTATAATAAATAGGTGGAAAATTCCTACAACAGACTTTCTTGTGTTTAAGTAGTAAGTACGATAATAAAAATGAAAAAGTTAAATATAATTGAATGAGAGGAAAAAAAATTACTAAACTCGTTTATATAATAAAGAGATAATATAAATACCTGAGTATTATTGGATATTTAATGAAATACTCCTTTGTAATGAAGTGCACTATTATGCTTATGATTTTACTTTGGTCTTATCTACCAAGAAATTTTCAAAATCTTTTAATGTGAGCTGACCTATGACCTATGCCCATCTTATGGTGCTTGGCCCTTATTCTGTCAATGATAGGGTTTATATGAAGTCTCATTGATTGGAAATATTTTATATTTGTCTATGGGTATTTAGTTAAGTATTAGAAATTTTATTACCTTTCATTGATTTTGAGTGTAGCATGTTAAGGTTTTTAACTCGTTTATGTTATTTGGTCCGTTAAGATATAAACTCTCTAAAAATGATCTAGTTTAGAGTCGGATTATCATGATATGCATTGTAACGACCAAATTTAAGCCAGGTATGATAATATTGGTGATTGTGAATCTCTCTAGAAATTTCGTAGTGACTTCTTCTTTCCTTGTCTAATGCTTTCAAAGGTTGTTGAGCTATGATGACGATTTGTTACGAATTGAGCTTTCGGTTTGCTTGTTAAACCTCCAAAACAAGTAATGGATTCTTTTGGCAACTGATAAGTACCATTGGAGTGCAATGTCTTTGAATATGGTATGGCATTTTAAAGGAGTACCTGTCGGAGTATATTTATGTATGTGTGAGGTAAGTTTTAAAATGCTACTTTGGGTCTAAGATTCTGGTGTAGGAGTCGATCGAGGGTATGCCACAACTTTAAGGAAGAGGTTTGTCGAGTATTTCTAGAGCAAACAAATGCTCATATTGTGCCCGGGCTTGTATCGGAGTCTGAGTTGACACAACTGACTCATTTTTTTTTTTTTTCTTTTACTAAACCTCTCTTTCAACATAAGTCTTTTGTTGTTCGGTATTGGACTTTTGTTGATCATCACTTTTTCTTGACGTAGGATTTTTGGAATGGAAGCAAGATTCTGTTGTAGCCACCATGTCATCCTCGTTGGTGGCGTGTTCTTCTTTATTGTTAGTTTCTTAGTAATCTTACTTTTAACTCCTCTTGCTACTGTTTCCATCTTGATCAACTTTTTCTCTTAAAGTTTTAATTTCCTCATTAGTTTGTTGCTGTAACTCAGACAATAAGGGCCTTAAAGCTTTTGATGAGTGTTATTGGATCTATAAAGTGTGAGAAAGAATATATACTTTGTAGGAGGAGTTTTACCTAATTTCAAGGTGGACATAAGTATTGTTACTTGAATTTGAAAAAGGTGTTTAAGTTTCTTTCTAGCAAGCCAAGTATGCATAAACATAATAGGAGAGATACCTCCAAAAGATTCTCCAATGCTTAAATAAGTATGAAAATAAAAATGAAAAAGTAAAATATGAATAAGTGAGATTGATGAGATACTAAACTTGTTTATATGTTAGGGAGATAATATAATTATCCTAAAAATGTGAAATATTTTATCTTTACTCATTATCTTTTGTCAAATATTATGACGGATGAATTTTGTCTATTATTCTTAACTTATTAAATTGTTCTGTATAAATATATATTTTTATATTAGTTAATAATAATATATATTCTAAACTAAAAAAAATAAAATTAGATATCAAATAAAATAATAACATATATTAAGTTATAAAAAAAATCAATTAATAATTTAAATAAATATTTTTTTATGTAAATAAAATATATTATTATATAGTGTTTCATGTTACTGTACTGTGTTTTTAGTGCTGAGTTACTAATAAGTTTAAAATTATATAATTGAAAGTTGGATGATTGTGTTTATTTTTCGTTTTTTATATTTTATATTGGTTCTTAATAATTAAATTGAGCTGAATAAATTGGTTTTAAAAATTTTAATCTAAAATAAAAAAAATGATTTATTTTCAATTTTTTTATTAGTTTAGTTTTGAACATCTAGGTGTGATTGCCAAAGAGTTTCAACGTTTTAATGTCTTGCTTTGAAACGTGAAGTGACATTACTAGCTGGACTAGCGCCACATTAGTTTCTGGTGTTTTCACATTTCGCACACCAAACATCCACGGGATAGTTAGGTCTTCATGATATTAATTAAATTTTCCTTGCACATATTTCTCAATTTGAGTTTTGTCTAAACTAATCTTTTTTACAAATGTCTATGTTAGAGTTAGTTCACCTTTATCACATTATTTTCTTTTCTTTTCTCTGATGTTATTTTTTTATATAATTATAAAAAAAGAAGATAAATTATTACTTGAAATTATCAGATTAAAAAAATCAATAATAAACATGAAAAGTAAATATGTAATTTTTATTTCAGAAATATATATATTAATCATAACGTTTTGAAATTTTGTTAGAAAACAAGAGGAAATAAACTATGGTTTAAAGATATATGAAATGTACGATACAAAATAAAAAACAAAATTAAATCATGAAAAAAATCAGTAAATGATAATTTGATAAATAAATTTTACAAATACTAAAATAGTAGTTTAAATTAATAATAAATATTAAAGATAAAAAAAGATAAAAATAACATAAGAATTTTTATATTGGTTTCTCTATAATCTATTATTAGCTCATAAATATACAAAATATTCTTTGACATCATTTATGCGTTACAAAACAAGTATTCTTTAATTAGTATTTTTTTATTGGTTTCTCCAAGTTGATTATATAACACCAAGTCACATTTAACATAACATCAGATAAAATCTTATGGAAAAATGTTTAAAACAACTTGTTTACTCTAAACAGGCATCGATCATCTTCCTAACTACATGGTACTGTTAGAATCGCGCAGCGGAATGTTCGCGTGGTCGGACAAAAACCAAGAGGGGGGGTGAATTGGTTTCTTAATAAAAATTAGGTTTTCAAAATTTTCCCCAAATTTTACCGATTAAAAACTGCGTAAATGTAAATAGAGAAGAGTAGAGAAGATTACACAAGTAGGTTTATACTTGGTTCGGATCAAAAGACCCTACGTCCAGTTGCTAATCACTCAAAAGAGGATTAACGCTGTCACTAAGAACAAATTGTTACAAACAGATTACAAATGAAAAGATAAAGATACGAAAACACCTCTCTTGAAATCCACAAGAGATGAAGAACAACTTTCCCTAGAGACGGACAAAGACACAATCCACTAAGAACTCCACTTAGTGATTCTTATCGCTTCTAGCCTCACACCAGGTTCCAAAAGCCCCCTTTCCTTGCAACAAACAGTTCTCCGGCACTCACAAGCACTTAACTTTTGTATGGAAAGAGTTGTTCTTTTTTTCCGAGTGCCAAAGCAGAGTTTAAGTAGGGAAATTAGGGTTTAGGAATTGGGGATTTCGAAACTAGGGTTCTTGGTAATTGGGTTTTCGAAAATAGGGTTTGTTTGATGTTTAAAATCGAAACAGATCGAAATAATCGATTATTTGGAGTGATAATCGATTAAAACAGAGCCAAATACGTCGAACCCAAACCTCTCTGGAATAATCGATTATTTGGTGAAATAATCGATTATCCAGTACGGATCAAGTACAAATCAATCGATTATTTTGCTCGTTTTAATCGATTAAAACAGATGACTTAGTATAGAAAGTGGTT